GTGTGTGTGTTTTTACTGTTCCATGGGCTTCAGGTCAGTTTGCCCCTGTTCATCTGCAGCTAGTTAAGACAAACCTCTGGGCACTGTAGCAGGTAGACTTTCTGAGTTATATTCATTATATCAGTACAACACAGCCTCGCACACACATAACCTCTCACACACTCTAATGTGTATTATTTACGACCAACTGAGCAGGCATGGCATCATGCATCCCAGACTATGAATGAGGCTGTTGAGGAAATTGCTAAATTCAGCATCCTTGCCCAGGGTGAAATTGAGTATGCTTAACTGTGTGTGCGTGTGTGTGTGTGTGTTTGTATGTGTTTTTGTCTGGCTGTGTGTGTGTGTGTGTGTGTGTTTGTATTCCAGCACATTTCCATGCTTTTCCAGCAGTACTGTCACTGTGCTTAATCTTTTCTCTCTCCCCTCTTCTAACTATTTCTATATCTAATTTAAGTGGTTCAGTGTTGAAGTTGCAGACGTTATTATCCATGTTATGTGAAGTGTGTATCTCCTCTCTGTGTGTGACCTGTTATTGCAGCGTTATGACAGACGAACCCCAGGTTTTCTCTGAGAGAGCCCTGTAAGAGACTCACCTTCCTCCTCACCCACACTAACCATGGAGACTGCCTTTGTCATCTAAATCAGACCAAACTCTCGTCTCTCTCTCATTTTATCTCTCTTTTTGGATCGGATTGCCCTTTTGTTTTTCGTTTCTCAATGCCTGTACCCTTCCCTCCCACTTAAACAACCCTATTTTGCACCGAAGAGAGACAGCTGTCAGCCTTTTTGTTTTGGTTTGTTGTTTTCTACATGACTTTGTGGTTTTGTTGTAGCACTGGGCTTCTTTGCAGTACCTTCAGTCATATGGAATGAGCAAGATCATCATTTTACATCAGTAGCCCATCGAACATCTTTCTGTTACATTAGCTTGTATGTTTTTTTTTTTTTTGTACAAGCTATCAGTGAGCATTCAGAGCTAAATTACCTGATAAAAGGAAGCAGTTGAGTGTGCATGTGTGTGTATGTGTGTGAGGAGAGGTGAGCTTTGAAAAACAGGAAACTTTAATTATTGCAGTCAATTTAGAATCAGTCCATCTCTAAATGACCCACATTAGAAAGCTAGTCGATTCAGCTACAAGCTTGATATAAATAGGGTTTTATGATAAACAACTGCTTTTCAGTTGCGATTGATTCTTTTTTTAATGTTATACTCATTTTTGCATTTACAAATCTGCAAATATTCAGTCAGTATATTGCACTGTAAACTGCTGCAATAGTGGGAATCTGTCTTCATAGCAGTCGGCCATAAGAAGGCATTTCTCAATCTGCTGAGGTGTGTAATTGCTACAGTAATTGCATTTATGTCACTTGTTTGTGCATATGCAATCAGGAGGTTCTGCTCTGGTTGGAACTGAGCCAACGGTTAATTTAGAAAGATATTTCATAACTTCTGTGCCTCGTGCCAACTCATATTGCTCTGCCAATAAGATATGTTCCTAATCAGATTTGAAAATATGAACTGGAAGTTAGGGAGTACCAGAGAGTAACGGGATTAGGAAGCAAATCAGAACGTTTCAACATTTAGACTTTAATCCATCCATTAGACTTGCTTTAGATCCAACATCAAAAATTATTTCAGATTAATGAGAGGCTTATTTAAAGCTTAGAGACTCTCCAGTGAATCCATTCAGTCTGGGTCAGGGCAGCTTGTTCAGGTTTGCTCAGCCTCTTATATTCCTACTGTGATTAAAAGGGGATTAGGAGGCAAATCAGAACGTTTCAACCTTTAGACTTTAATCCATCCATTAGACTTGCTTTAGATCCAACATCAAAAATTATTTCAGATTAATGAGAGGCTTATTTAAAGCTTAGAGACTCTCCAGTGAATCCATTCAGTCTGGGTCAGGGCAGCTTGTTCAGGTTTGCTCAGCCTCTTATATTCCTACTGTGATTAAAATGTTAGACATTCTGGAAGATTCTGAAATTGCACACAGCATGCTTACATCATTCCCCCGCGCCGCATTAGCTGGGTGCCATGGCAACCAGCGCTCCAGCTCAGTTTTAGACAGCATCCTCCTCTATGTATTTTTTAGCCTCTAACTGACCGTTTTATAAATTCAGCGGCAGCAAAACCGTCAGAAGGGTCAGTAGCTTTAAGAAATACACTGTGGTCTGGAAACGAGTTCTTTCCCAGTACTTTAGATCTACAATAACATCAGACAATATAATTAGAGTCCTGCATCAACAAATTTATTTCTGCGAGAAGCTTTTATATGCTACTGTTCTGCACAATAGTCTTTAACCACTGATGTACAAGCGTCTCAAGGGTTAATATCCTTAGAAAATGATGCCATCCAATAGAAAAGCTCATAGGTGAGTTTATATGTTTTCCAAAGAGCTTGCTATTTCCGTGTCAAGATCCAGTTAAAGACATTTTCCCCAATCAAAGCTAATGAAATGCTGTCTCAGACTTAGCGTGTGGCTCTGGTGTTAGTTAACGCTAATGCGGCTCCCCTCCTCTTCAAACTGACTGGTGGACCGAAGCTTGACCACTGCTTAACGGAATGGACTTCCAGGCTGTGTTTTCATGTCAATCAAGGGATTGCACTCAATGGGGTGGGGTCATGCGATAATCTGAATCATGCCAATCCAAATGTATTGGGATTATCCAATAGAAACCATTTGTTTTTGGAAGGGGTGGGGAAAGGTAAGGGGTTGACATTTGCACTGGACATGAAAATACTCAAAGCACTCAACATCTGATGACAAGATCACAAGCTTGGATGAGAAAAAATGCACCTTGAGAAACAAAAAACATGCATGAGGAAGGAATGAAGGCACATCAAATGTACCCACAGCTGACTGTGAGATTATACGGTGAAGCCAGAGACGCTTGTCTTCACGCCTGGCTGCTAATTAGAAAATGAATTCAATGACTCAAATCAATCTCTAAATCCACGGCTTGTAGGTACTTTTGAATGATCTGAAACTGCATGAGACTGAGAATAACTGCAAAAGCAATCTGGACGAGATGGTGTGCTTCAGTCAAGCCTAATCTTGTGCCTGTATATGTGCGTGTCTGCTTTTTTTTGTGTTTGGTTGTATGGCTGCATGGATGCCTGGGTAGAAGCTGCCTATTGATGCGGTTCTCAGTTCCTCAGAAGGGAGCACAGTGGATATCCGACCCCCTGGAGAGGGGGCGGAGTCTGTGGAGCTGGAGCCGGAAGAGTCCCTGGACCCAGAGGCCTGCTTCACAGAAGGTGTGTTTGTGTGTGTGTTTACCTGGCATTCCATATGCTATGGGGACCAAATGTCCCCACAAGGATAGTAATACCAGTAAATTGTGGGGACATTTTTTTGGTCCCCATGAGGAAAATAAATCATACATCTAAAAATGCAGACAGTTTTGTGTGAGGGTTAGGGTTAGGGTAAGGAGATAGAAATACATTACAACTATGAACTGTCCCCATAAATAATGGAAACCAGGGTGTGTGTGCATTTGTGTACAAACAGGAAATCAAAATGTATGTTAGTTACCTTATTAATCTACATTCCTGGGTTTATTCACCAGTGCATGTTATTTCAAACTAGGGCTGTCGCGATTCGTCGACTTTATTCGACTATTCGATTTTTTATTTTATTTTTTATTTTTTTAAATCCTCGACTTCATTTTGCTCTCGTCGACTAACCGGCAAAATACCGGAAGTGGTGCATTTCACAGACGAGAATGTATAAAACACATTATTAGTCTGTTTTCCAAGGCTGCATGATATATTAAACCCGTTTAAAAATCATAATTAAGCATAATTGTGAATTCACAAACGCTACGATTTAATTAAATAATTAT